GCCTCCACGAGTGTCTGGAAGGCAAGTACCTGGGATTCTAGGAATTGGTACCAAACATCTTTGAGCCATTCAGCCTGCTACACCTGGTAATACTAACGCTGCCTCATGGTGAGATTTTTTTGCCCAAATCAACGTCTCACTTGAGAATCTGGACCCTGTGAATAAAAGCCATCCTTTCTCAGTCTCACTTTGTCCAATATCAGTATCAGAACACATGTCAAATAGGGAAATCTGAGGAAAGTTTAATAAAGGGACTATTTATGAAGATACGGGCATCACATAGAGAACCACAGGGGAGACTGCTGTGCCCGTCGACCGGTACAGCAGGCTGCTGTTGACCCTCTGAGCCTGAGGGTGACCGGTGCTCACAACTGAAGCAAACACAAGCTCATGGGAGAGCTACTGAGCAAACGCTGAGCGCTGCAGCCAGTGACTTTAATCTAACTGGTCAAGGGAAAGGACTGCAACATCACTTGGCCCCAGGAGACCTGGATACTAGAAAACGGCAGAGACTGTAGGTTCTCCTCCCCACTGGCCATTTGCCTCATTTTCTGTTGACTTTTGGACCTTCCTCTCTCTTAGGTGATCTGAAAGGAGTCCGGAAGTCAGCAGTCTCCGAATACACTGTTTCACCTTTCTCAGTACCAAATCATGTCAGCTCATCATTCATGGAAAAAAACAGAGAAATCCTTAAAGACACGTAGATATTAAGCCTGGCGGTTTGGATATGGTGGACATATATTACATAACATTATTCAAAACCCATCACTAGTAAACTCACTCTTGCTTATTTAGAAACCAAAGAAATTTAGAGTCAGAAGCAAGCTGAGGTATCATGCTGCATGATGCACCATTTTTAAGACCTAGATGACCAATGACCAATGAGTATACGCCTATTTGGTGCACAATGATGCTTCCTAGTACTCTGTCCTTCCTATTTTACCTAAACAATGTCAGGCCGGTCTCACCCCATAAGCATCTTTGTATTTTATCACTGGTTTACACTGAAGGCAGAGAAAGGTACTGAATATAAGGCCAAGAGAAAAAGCACCAACAATACCACAGTTTTTGACATCAATAGACAACAAGCAATTGATAATAAGCAGAAGGCCACAGTTTACTCACCACCATATCCATGACTACACTTGAAGAGAAGTGACTTACTTGCTTATCGCTGAATTCCTTAATCGAGAGTTGCCGTTTTATTTGCACCTTGCAGAGCTATTCTCAGGAGACATGTAGACAGTAGCTTCAGCCCTCTTGGATGGTTCTTTTAAAATCTTGAATGACTTCTGTTCATTAGCCCTGTTGAATACAAGCACACTTACATAATGCTCTAAACTCCTTTTCCCCCAGAATGGTTTATTCAGGTGAAGTATGAAGCAAATCGAAAGAGAGCTCTAGATGGTAGTAACAGAGCCTCATCTAAATAAACACTGCCCTTCTCCAGCCCCCTCAGCATGCTCTAAACACTCTGATTTATAGAGCCAGATTTTCAAGAAGTATAAACTTGTTTGCTTTGCAGAAAATCTCCCTACATCATAACCCATGAACACTCTAGAATTTAAAAAGCAAATTATAATCACATGGCTTTGTTTCAACTACTTTCCCATTTGCTTATTGCTGCCTTTCTAATTTGTTTATTGAACCAATATGAACTAGGAGTGGATGCACTTATTCACTAAGTAAAAATAATTTTGTGGCTTAATAAAGAACTTGTTTTATCAATGCAAGTCTCTAATTTCATTGCTCAGATTAATGAGGGTACACGGAAATGATTATAAAATCCACAGATAATTAGCAAAAAGTGAAAAAGGACATCCATGTATTTGTAATATATATCAAGATACTCTTCTGAACAACTAAATAATCTGAATACATTATATCCTGGAATATAAATGTTTAACAAACATAAGTAATTTCTTCACAACTACAAAATAGAAAAAAACACAATTACATACAATGAGATGCATAAGCATGACATAATGAAAATGGTTTTTTACAACTTGTTAATTTCCTGTATTTGTGACAGGTATAGTAAATCTCATTTTTTCCTCCTTTGGAAGTTTAGGGGGGACAGAGGTCACCCTTTATTCCTAATGCCCCCCTTATGTATACACAGACACTCCTACATACACTCTATGGTTATGGAAATACAAATTACTTTGTGCAAAGATGAGCTTTCATTCAACACTTACTTAGTAAAATATCATCAGCCAGACATTAATGGTACTGAAGACTTAGAAAAAGCAGTATTACATGATTCCTGGTTCATTATTACAAAGCCTCAGAGGTATAACTGAAGGCACATCGGGATCAGCTTTGGGTAGAGATGGACTCAACCACATGTCATGAATTGGGAAATCCTAAAAGAACCTACCTATTTCCCATAACCTTTCTATTAGAGCTACTTCCTAAAAGACTTACATATCAATCATAGAGATTTTACTAAGGTTAATGTTTGTTCCTCTACGGGATATCTTTATGAATTTTATCTCATTAATCCCCATAACTAGTATGTGAATTAGGTTTACATTTGGAAATATGCAAACAGAGAATCAAAAAAACTAAGTGATCTCAAGTCACATAGCTAACAGACCGCGTAGCTAGGTCTCCAGGCAAATCCTATGAATCTGGTGAAGCCCACGTTAGCATCTCACCAGTGCACCTGGGGAAGACAGGCCTGGGTGTGGACATTCGGAAGAGCACTGGGAGGCAGCCAGGAAGACTTAGCTTTAAAAGGGTGATGTTTACGTTAGCATTTAGACGTAACAGTACATCCCATGTCAGCTCTGTTTTTAAGATGTAAACAAACATTTTTTCCCCCAATGGTCTTTTTAGGAGCTTTCATTGGCACAAAAATTCTGGTACTTTCAGAAGAGCTGAACAAATACAATCATATGTGCACTTTCCAGAAAACGAGTTTTGGTTTTGGTTTCAAGAAGGTCATTTACTTTAATGGAAGTTCGAAGAGAACAGAGAACTTTCTGTGGCATGTATTTCTGTTATTTCCAGCACCTAGAATATTGGTGCTCATTAAATGAATGCAATCAATTCCATATAATAGTTCAAAGACAGAAACAAAATTAACTGCCTAAAGGAGGAGAGTAGTAGGTGAGCATAAACTACTAGATATTTAATGAGGCAGGCAGTCATTTAAAAATCCATATGTTTCCTGCAAGGATAAAGCAAAACTGGTACGTTTTCACTGCAGGAAATAAAATTGTCAAGTTCAAGATAAGTGACTATTGATAAAAAAAATACATGCCTCTTGAGTGGCATCAAATTGTGATAGTTCTGTAGATAAAAACATGCCTTTAAAATAAGGCTCCTTGAAGAAGTGGTTGATTGTACTGCTGGGGCAGGAAAAAGTACAAAAAGAACCTGGAGCATCTTGTGATACTTAAATACAGGTAAATGCTTAAAGGAAAGGAAAAAAACATGGGGAAAATGTTAAAAGGGCATGAGAACTAACATGAAAGCTCACAATGGCCAAAGATGGAACAATCTGAACAAAAATATATATAATGATGGTAATAAATTCTAACCCAGAAAGAGAAAGAAAAATACCATATGATATCACTCATATGTGGAATCTAAAAAAGAAAGAAAGAAAAAAGAGGACATTAATAAACTCATCTATAAAACAGACTTGCAGATATAGTAAACAATCTTATGGTTACCAGGAAAAGGAGGTGGGAAGGGATAAGTCTGGGAGTCTGAGATTTGCAAATGTTAACCACTATGTAAAAAAATACATAAAAAACAAATTTCTTCTGTATAGCACAGGGAACTATATTCAATATCACAATAATAACCTTTAATAAAAAAGAATCTGAAAATGAATATATGTATGTATATGCATGACTGGGACATTATGCTATACACCAGAAATTGACACACTATAACTGACTATACTTCAATAAAGAAATACTAGCCCAAAGAATAAAGTAGCCATGAGTCCAAATTGATATAAATGATTGAACAAATAAACAAAACAAGGGACAACTATTCCTTCAGAACAATTCCAATTAATAAATGTAGAAAAAAAAGAGAAATTAAAAATCACCACAACACCACAGTAAAAATTGCTACAGGCAAGATTCACTGAAGGCGGCTAAAATTAGTTGATTAAAGATTAAGGAGAAGCAGGATATATTTGCATAAACATCTTACCCCAAATACTTATTAAAAGATAAAACACAGTAACTTTACAGTGGAGGAACATAGTAGGCACCACCCTGATCAGGAGATCAAGGTTGACTCCCCAGTGACAAGACTTATGGATATCAAGTATCCCCTGATATGATGCACTGAGAAGTACATCTCACTTCTGTGTCATTCTTCCCCAGTATCCTTAACCTCAACCTAATTATGGGAAAACATAGAAATCCAGTCAAGGGGCATTCTACCAAAGTACCCAACCAGTACTGTTGTAAAGTGTCAAGGTCAGAAAAGATATGGAAAGACAGGAACTGTCACAGATCAAAGGCAACTAAAGAGTTATGACAGCTATATGCAATATATGATTCTGGATTGCATACTGGAGCAAAATAAACACTAGTGGAGAAACTGGTGAAATACAGTCTATAGTTTATTAGCATATCAATATTAACTTCTTATTTTAATTAATGTACCATGGTTATATACAACGCTAATATTAGGAGAAGTTTGGTCAAGGGCAACTGAAAAATCTTGTTCTATCTGTGCAACTTTAAGTCTAGAATTAGTTCAAAATAAAAAAAATTTTTAGAAAAGAGTGCCATGAAGCACCTAATTTAGATAAGACCATTAGGGAAGGGAAGACCCCCCTCCCCAGAAAATGATTGTTTAAACAGAGACATGAAGCATGAGAAACTATGACTTTTTCTAATCCAAACTACTCATAATGTGTCGTTTCTTCATAATTCAAAAAATAAGTTGCATTAAAAATATTTGTTACTATATTAAGTTTCAAAGAATTATTACAATAGTTGCAGACTTGTAGTGACAATTTAACAGCTTAGAAGCAATACATCTGGAAGACTGATCTTGTGTGTGAATGAGACGATAAATTCTCATGAAATATAAAAACCTTGAGGATTTTTTGTAGTTATGTATTCAATAGTAATACTCAAAACCATACATTACTTTATCCTAAACTCTAGTTAGTAATAGGTAACAGGCACATCTCGGTAATTTTATTTGTTTTTTGTGTTTTGAGGGGGAATTTTAAATCTCATAAAATTCAAGAAAAGAAGATGGTACACTCTACTGCTGTCTCACCTCATCCAATTCCAGGTCATTTTTTCACCATTTAAAAAAATTTTTTTTTCATTTACTTTTGGGGGAGAGGTAATTAGGTTTGTTTGTTCATTTGTTTATTTTTAATGCAGCTACTAAGGATTGAGCCCAGGACCTCGTGCATGCTAAGCATAGACTCTACCACTGAGCTGTACCCTTCCCCTCTCATCATTCTTTTGGTCCTTTCCATGAAGTTATCTTTTCCCACTAAAATAAGACAAGTAAACCTAGACATCTACCAATTAGGAAGCATGTGCTATTGTTACGGAAATGACAGGCCAGTCAAGAAACAAGCGCTACTCGGAGGGTTGGAGTACTCAGATGTATTATGCTGGCGGGCTCAGAGGGGTTTCTGCTCCGAAGCTCTGAGCACCTTGAAGATGTGCACATGAGGTTTTATAGGGTAAAGTACAAGCTTGGGGTATTCGGCCAATAGGCATGGAACAGCTTTAGCAGCAGCAGCATCACAAAAGTGGAGGCGGGGAGGCAGCAAACCAACATTCCAAAGCCAGATATGTATTTTTGAAAACCCAGCTGGCTAGCAAAAAAACATAAACAGCAAGCCAACACTAATTAACCTAGATTTACAAGTTCGTGCAGCAGAACTCAGATCAGTATTCCAATACTTAGATTTGTGAGTTATCTTGTTAGCCCAGCCCAGCCTCTCCTTCACATTCCTAGACTTATGAGTTATCTTGTCAGACCAGCCCTGTTTTTCCTTCACACTATAATCAGATTTAGGGACACAGGTTGATAATAGTGAAAGCAATTTTGAAGATCATCTAATCCAGTGGTTCTCAACTCTGTAAGACCAAAAGCCTCTTTTTATATCAAATGTTTCGTCATGGCCCCTTTATTATCCTGAAATTGAAATTCCAAGATAATACAACCAACCTGCACACAATTTCAAATATGTGTGTATAATTCCATACCATAATAAAAAAGGAGAATGACAAGGAAATTAATTTAAAATAAATGATTTGTATTTCAAACTGTAGAGGTTGAGCACAACTACACTAGGA